AAATATTTAAAACATTTCACATACTCCAGTTGTTTTTGGTCTATCTTTATTGTGACTGGGGTTGGTTGTCTCGAAATTTTCGTTACTTTTGTTTTCTTCACATTCACTTCCATGCCATAGCACCTTCCAATTTCGATTAGGCTATCAATCATGCCCTGTAGCACAGTTTCTTCCTTAGCTATTAACACAAGGTCATCTATATATTTCACAGTTTGAATAATTTGCCCTCCTAATTTGAAGTCTCCAAGCCCATCCAGAGCTTCCTTGGTAAGGCATTCACTGTACAAGTTGAACAAAATTGGTCATAAATAGCATCCTTGTTGAACTCCTCTTCCAATCTTCACACTTCTTGTCTCCCCTCTTTTTCTTCATACACATTATTTTTATTCCATTGATGAATATCTTCAATTTAAGGCTATTGCAAGTCAATGACATACCGAAGAATTTACACATATATATAGTATAATAAATTATGTTTATTGTCACCAAGTTTTTAAACTATTAGTAATAGAACTTTTTATATTTCTGTCATCATTTTATTTTATTTTATTTTTGGCTTATTTGTCTTTTATATATGTACCACTTGACATGTTCCATATCCTACCTGTTGTACTTTGGATCTATGGAATGTAAAATAAATGAATGAATGGGACAAGTCAAATAATTTCTATATATAATACTTGATCATTATAAATTAAAACAATAATAATGATAACACTAGTATATCATTTTTAACGGACACACAACACAGCAACACACCTTCATACACTAATCCCCCTGACTCAGCACGAGACCAATTGCAAATTTTGATCTCCCTCAAGTAACCCATGCAAACATTTCCCTGTCATGTAGTGACCTAATTCATGGAATAAATAACAAAGATAAACAGTAGAAATTACCATGTTTGCACTAATATTTGACAATCTACAAATTAATTATTCTTAAAATATATGGCTATGAATGACAGGTACTAAGACTTTTCCCTAAACAAGAAAAACTCGTCTGTACTATAAAAACTGATCAAATAGGAATTTTTTCAATGCATTCTTAAACTTATATAGTACTAGTATCTCTTTAAAATAATATGGTAGATGATTTAACATACGAAGTCTGATGTTATTAAAGTTGTTTATGCATAGACTAGTATTACATGGTACAATAAACAAACCATCTTTATTCCTAGTATTATATGAGTATTTTCTTGAATTGATTGTAAAAAGATTCAAATTTGATTTAATGTAAACTAAATTTTGTATATATACAAACTTGGTGAGGGTAATATGTGTAAATATTTAAAATATTGTTTGCAACTAGTAGTTTTCAGGATTTGCATCATAGCTCTAATATGAAGGTTGGAACTTTAATAGTGGCAACTATTTATTTATAACTGATACAAAATAGGTGAATGTTTCAAAGTTTTACTGTCCTTCAATGTAGTCACCACCATTGTGTACAACCTGTTGCCAGCGATGTGGAAGTTGTAGGATACCTTTAGCAGCGCCTACTGTCTGAAGAATCTCTGGAACAGTTCTGAAGCGAATGCCATGAAGTGGTTCCTTCATCTTAGGAATCAAGTCGAAGTCACAAGGGCTTAAGTCCGGGGAGTATGGTGGATGGTACAGCACTTCCCAGCCCCATCGATCGAACAAATCAGCCATAGCTTGCCATTTCTGCATTTCTGTCAAATAATTCGGAACCCATCGTGATGCAATTTTTCTCATGCCCAGGCGTTCCTTCAGAATGTGAAGCAAAGTCATATGTGCTAATCCTGTCTCTTGGGCCAGCTCATGAATCGTATGGCGTTGATCACTCTCCAGTAACACGGAAAGGTTGTTAGCCTTATGTGCCGGCCACACTTCACTCCCCAGCAAAATTATTTAATTAATTCCTGGTACTCATTTCTGTTAAGCGACTGAGCAGCTGGAAGGATTAGGTCAATTGAAAAAATCCAATGACCTCATCGGGACTTGAACCCGTGATGTATTCATAATTTTATACCATTTTGTGAACTTCAATATCTGCATTCCATTGTTCTATGTAATGCATTTTATTTTATGACATGGCAGTGCTGAGTAAGTAAGATCTTAGGGCGTGTTACATCTGTATTATTATTTCAACAGAGATGTTGAACATAACAAATAATGGAAAAACCATCTGTTTCTCCATATAATTGCTAGACTGACTCACGCATTTGTCCCAGTGAGAAACAACCAGTCTTATTCCAGAGCAGAAGATGCTAGGGTTTAGTGTATCGTTTGGAATGCTTTTTCTAGGCGCCACACTGTTGCCCTGTGGTCCAAGAACTGAAGAAGAAGAATGCCATGTGTGTCCCCAGATTCTGTCAGTAACCTCTCCGTAGGCTGGAAATATTTGTTCCATCCACCACTCAGTTCAGATATTGCCCCTATCAACTTCCACTTCTGTGGACCACTGAGAAAGTACTTAAAAGGGAAAGACTTCTACCATGATGGTGCGATGAAAGCTGAGGTATGTCAGTGTGTGCAAATACTGAGCCATTATTTCCCCTCCAGAGGCATTAAACATGTGGTGTATCACAGGGCAATTGTCTCAGTTGGCCTGGTGATTACATGCAGAAGCAAAGCATCTATTAATCCTTCTGTTTTGGAACATACTGAAGTAATAAATACAGCTAAGCTCATGGTCTTCTGGGTTGTGACACTCTGTAGTTCTGTGGACAGACACTGATGTTTCAGAGCAACCTCCTGCCTCCATCTTCAGGACTGAAGTAGGTAGGTTTAGGAACGGGCTTGTCATATTTCATATGGGTAAGTTACAATGAAGGTGCTCATGGGATCCAAGGGGAGAGGGTAAAGAAAGGAACCTGGTCCAAACCTATGAGAAAATAATGGATAAGAGACTGACCTTACCATGGGCTCGCTGGTTTACTGTCACTTGGAAATTGGAACAGTGAGAAAGTACAGATTTTTCCTGGGCTGCAATATTGTTTTCAGGAGGTAAAAAGAATGGTGTGGAAAATGGACAAAAAAGGCCCTCTTTCAGGGCTATCATAAGTCTTTCTCACAGGAAAGAAATTTAAACTGAGAATGGGAAAATTATCTTCTATTTACAGGGCTCTGGTGAATGGGAGATGAGGGAACAGCCCTGTTCTTTCTTTTGAGGGCTGTGTACAAAGTGTCATTTTGGAGGAAATAACTGGTTTATCCTCAATGAGGAACAAAACTACATGGTGTTACAAACCAGAAGGCCACAACCATAGAAACCTCAGAATTTACACAATAAATACATGTGTAATACACCCTCAGATCTTTATTGAACAGCCTAAGTATTGTCTATTTTTGGAGCACTTATATTCATGTTTTGTTATGCCAACTTCTTTACTTACTTAGTTGTTTATGTACTGTATATATATTATTGTTTAATATCTCTTTTGCTCATGTTGCATTGTGCAACGTACATCTCCTTCCACATTTCATATTCACCCGTCAATGGATGAATGTTGGATTAATGAAATGCATATGTATGTATCACAAGTTTCCTTCTCCTTACCATTAAAACGTTTCAAATACGTATGTATGACTTCCAACAATCTGCAGAAATATATTAGCCTACTTCTCTGGTGAATATTTTAACATCACCCACACGAATTTGTCATGAAAACAAGAAAGCTGAGGGGTGTAAAGTGAGATAAGACGTTTTTACTTATAATTAAAGGTACAGTATATGGAAACATGAAAGTTTATAATTATTATGACTGTACACTATTATAAATGAACCCAAATACTGACCACAAAACTTCATCAGAAATGCTTTCCTCTTCCCAATTGAACACCGACATTCCAGCAGCAGTAAAAAGAAATTCCTTTCCCCTCTTCGACTACTGATGTCGCATTTTCTTCATAAGTTCCTTCACGGCTACTTCATCCCACAGCTTGCTATAAAGACTAAAAATCTGTTGGCCTCTTTTAATTCTATGTGCCAAGACCCATTCACACTGTTGTGTACACACACTAACAATTTGCACTGATTGTTCTTTCAGGGACAGAGGAAATCTCTGCACACCTTGTTTGAAGTACCACAACAGTGTATCACGGGCGTGCATACACCTTGATGTATGGTAGTCATGCACGGTAAAAGTGCTTGGTGTATTTAACATTAATGCTGAATAAAATTTCAAAACTTGGGCTTGAAATTTATTACCCAAGAAAGAGCATTTAGAAAACATGAAATATTTCGTTCGCAATGTTGTACTATTAGTGCGGCTGCTAAACTGAATTCGTAGCAAATTATTGTAATACATTGTCACTTTAAAATAGTTACTGCAGTGATTTTATTAAAAATTGACTGCAACTATTTTTTACATTATACCACATTGGAATAAAAATAACCGCTTCTTGCAGTTGCTAATACACGATCAGCCTCATACGCATTTTTAAGCGGCAAACATGACGGAACAAATGCTACGAGATATGGTAATTGAATAGATATCGGTATGGGATGCAACACAAACTACAGCTACTGATTAGCATTGTGCTGTCCTGCCATCTATCTCGGAAATTGTGATCTGGAATATATACGCCATGCTCAGTCGGCAAAATGGTTATGGATTGTTCAATCCCCACACGTTCAGAATCACTAAATTGAACAGGAGCGTCCCTTGTCTGCAGGGTAAAGGCGAATATTTGTGAACTGAAGTTTCACGTCTATGCTAAAGATGGTGGGAGTTCGTTCCCTCAAAAGCCAGTAACGAGAAACCGAACACCACGTCGTCACATCCCAGAAGATGGCAGGCTCCATAGTCATGTCATTGAGACCCTCAAATCACATACTAGTTAACGATCTTAACGATCGCGAACGATCGCGAAGCATGAAGCAGGTTTTGAGACGTTTGATCCGTTTGAGGGTGTAAGGGTTTTAGTGCTGTATGAGGGATGTGAGAAATGGCGCAGCCTGTTCGGTTAACCATCGTAAAAATGACATCTAGAGGATTACCTGTCAGATGTCTGGAAATATTGAAGCTAAGGAACGCCTTAACTGCATGTTTTATTACGCCCGTATGTACGATAGGACATACTTGTATCTTGGGAAAAATAACAGCTGATATGGAGAATGAATATCCTGTTCTTTTGCGTGGGTAGTTGTATGTTGAATGGTTGAATATAGATGCGGCGATGCCCTTGTCATTAACTCATGTGAGAAGATTTAAATAAAGATATTTGGCGAGTGAATTTTTACAATCGTTTTGAGGTTATGGTTGTTATTCTTATTTTTACGTATTCATTCATTTTATTTGGCATGCATAATTGCTACAGCAGTAACACTTGAACAAGTCACATCATTAAGTAAATCATTCTTGAAATCCTTTTGCCCAAATGCCTGAAGTATTAGATTTTGTCAGCAATAAAGAACATTCTTGACATGATTAACCTATAATTAAAATATAACACACACTATCAAAACCAGATAAATGATCAAATTAGATACAGTACATAAATCAAAATGCAAGTTAACCTTATGAGTTTATCGAGAGAATTTTAAGAGTATTACAGTAAATCAAGAGTTCCACATATGACCATGTCAATCACTGTTCACATTAAGATATTACAAATAACCATTTGTTACTGTTTCATTTGCTGAATAGAGGTTTTGCTATGCTTACTACTGTTCCACTAAAAGAAACTCATACAATGTATAGAATGGATGATGTAGTAAAATACTTTTACCTTATGTTTAAAGTCTTTAAATCCAACTGATTTTCATAATTCCAAATGCAGTCTATTATACAATTTAATTTTTTTTTATTTACATTTATACAATCCGTTGATCCTTATGGTACAGCTGACCAGTGGATATGGATTTTGTCACAAGCTAATAGATTAAAATACGGAAAATACAAAAACTTACATACTTTTGTCATTAAGACAGTTAAAAGATTTATATTAATGTACAATGCATAAAATGATCAAAATTATAAAACAATAATTGATAGAAAATACTTGATAGAAAATACTTAGGTAATGATATAAAATTAACATATCAGGGGTACAATTACCAATTTTAATTACATACATGGTTAAAATATTCCTCTAAGGAATAAAAAGAATTTGAAAGAAAAAATCTTTTTAGCCTCAGTTTAAATAGTTTCACATCATTACTCATACTCTTGATTCTGGATGGCAGGTGGTTATAAGCCTTAATACCAAAGTAATATGGTCCTTTCTGAAAGATTGTTAGGCGTGATGTGGGAAGGTGCAAATTTGTGGTATGTCTAGTACCCGTATTGATAACACATTCCGTAAAAGCTGATATGTTATAATTTGGCAGTGAATACGCAGAGCCTCTTAGAGTACTGTCCATTCAAAGCTCCTGTCAGATGTGAAACTCCTGTAGTGCTGATATTTTCGCCACAAATTTTCTGTAGAAAAGAATATTGTTAGCAAGACAATTGATGAAATGGTGAACTCTGCTTGTGACTTTTAAAACTTGTTTTTATGGTTATAGTGACTGTAAGGGCTAAAATGTGGTAATGAGAATGTGTTGTAAACAGTTATAAATGTTAATAAATTAATAAACTTGGAAAAAACAATTAGAAGAACATTAGAGACTTACATAGAGGCATAAATTAATTTATAAATAGTATATGAGTGAAGGTATGAGGGGTAGGCCTTCTTGGCCCTTGCACCACCACCTACTGTGGTCTAGTGTGCTTTAAATTAATTTAAGAAGGGGTACCAACTTAGAAGTAACTTTGAAAGGTATAAGAAGGATGATAATGCTTTCATATCCCCACGATATTTAGAATNGCCATCAGGATAATGTTGGGAATGAAACCCAGAGAATCATGTAGAACAGTTTTTAAAAAATTAAAAATTTTGACATTGGCTTCTCAATATATTTTATCTTTAATGATACTAATGGTAAACAATCTGGGGCATTATACTTTTAATCATACAATTCATGGTAAATCAACAAGACAAGTTAGAAACCTTCATGTTCCTCAATCGCATCTAACAAAGAGGCAAAAAGGGGTCTATTGTATGAGTGTAAAAGTTTTTAATAGTTTGCCTGATTTTTTAATTGAGTTGGTACATGATAAAAAACAGTTTATTGAGAAACTAAAGGATGTATTGCTTCAAAACCCTTCTTATACTGTTGAGGAATTCTTGCTTTTCTGTCAAGACCTGTCAAGAGGTGTCTGACAGTGTACACTTCATTTAACTCTATGTCCTTGGCTGTGCTTATATATTCTTGCTGCAATTTGTATTGCTTTTTAACTATTGTATGTGTTTTTGCTGCAATCTGTATTTTCTTTTAACATTTTTTAAGTGTTTTTTTGACAAGTATGGATTATATATGCTAGTGATTTTGTTTGTGAATGTACAAGTTTCCAATGTCTTGTTGGCTTGTTGACATGTTTTATATTCTGTGCCTGTGCACATTTGTGAATAATCTGAAACGCAAATGTATATGTATGTATGTATGTAATAGGTGAAGAATTACTTCTCTCAGCTGTTGGATATATATGGTATTAATGATGTTATAGGTAAAGCTATCTGTATAACAGGCCATGAAGGCTCATAAGGTTGTGGGACATTGAGGTTCCCACATTATCTAGACAGTTGGCGGTGAGGTTGTCAGCTTTACACACCTCCTGCCCTTTTTCCCAGAGGAAAATTTCTTGTACCGATTTCTGTTAGAGGCTGAGTCAATCCCAGGGCCATAATATGGCTGGAAATATTAGGTAAATTGAAGAAAATAAAATGACCTCATTGGGACTCAAACCTGTGACTTCCAGCTTGTAGCATAGTGCCTCAACCAACTATGCTACCACTTGCCCCTTCATAATTTGTACTCCTTGTAAAAATACTGGAATGATCACTGAAGGAGGAGGAGGTAGGTAGAACATGCAGCACATATGGGACAGCAGTGCAGAAAAACCTGAAGGGAAACCCAGACATAGCTGTCTTATTAAACTGTAATTCAAAGAAATAGCATGAGGCTGTGGACTGAATTCATCTGATTCAGGAAAGGGATAAGTGGCAGGCTCTTGTGAACACAGTAATGAACTTTTGGTCCCCATAAATGCTGGAAATTTCTTGAGTGGCTGAGCAATGCTTTGTCTTCTCAGGAAGGACTCAGCTCTTCATGGAGATATTTAATTGGCAACACTGGATAATGCCTCTGGTAGGTGGCATGTTTGGCTGGTATAGCGTAATGGAGTGGGAGAAATTTTGTATATACCTCATCAGTGTTATAATATAAATCTTTTAAATATATACCTTGTCCCCTAAAGCATATTATAAATTGAAAGCATCATAAAAATGTGGGAAAATACCAATATAGAGATTAGATTAGTCTTCTGGGATGTAATGCCATAAACCCATCATGCTGTACCATAACCCAGATCATATTTCCCACTGTGAGAACATCAGATCTCATACAGTCCATGGTCATCAGTATTTATATATATATATATATATATAGTGGCAGCACATAGCAGTAAACTTATTAATCAACAACACAGAACTTGGAAATCTTATTATCATTTTGATAAGTACCTGACATCAGTAACTTTGATGTCCACAGGTGCAACCTGCAAGAGACTCTTCATATCAAGGCAGCAAACTCATTGGACCACCAAGTCTTTATACTGATGTAGAAATATCGAGATCACCTGAAGAATGGAAATTTGTGGAAAGGCTTCTGCCTAAAACATTTATTCCAGAACCCACACTGAAATCAGACTATCCATCAGGTTGGAAACCACCTACTGGTAAGTATTCTGCCTTTTCATATGATATATTTAATATATGCAGGAATAACTGTTTAAAACATATTTTGTTTTAGAATCATCTTGCAGTCATCCCTATTTTGTGGAACGAAACAGGAATCACATGTATCCGCTCTACCTAAAAATACAAGGCCGTGGAGAAAGAAAGACCACAAAATTAAAACGTATTCAAGGTGACATTTGGGTATGTTTAAAAATCTTTCATATGATAAAATGACATAAGAATTGCAAAGACATAATTCTTTGTTAAATACTGATGAAAGTGAATTTATCATATATATATATGCCATTATTTTGAATTGTTTTATTATCAGGCATTACATGATGACCTGAAAAAGTACTTGGAAGACAGAAGCAAGAAGTATGTATATCTGCAGATACAAGAAGTATCAGGACACATCAATATTAAAGGAGATTATGTCAGTATTGTTGAAGAGTGGTTACAGGATAAAGGATTTTAATTACAATGCTGCAAAATTAGTATAAACTTTCACATACATAGAAACCAAACTGGAATACCATGTAAGTTTAGAAACAAGCAGACTGTCAAATGCAACTGCTTAATTTGTAATCAAGTATGCATGTGTGTACTGTTGATGATGTCATGAATTCAAGACAAAAATGTATGGCTTAGGCGAATACAGATTTTTAACAGCTGAATTTTATAGTCCATTTATTTATAAACTGAAAATACAATACCATAAACAACATTATGCTTTATAATGAAACATTCTGTACTGTAACAGATGAACTGGAATTAAACAGTAATTGTATACAACTTGAAACTGCTGAATATATTATGGAAATGCAAATTACAGTTATGATTTAGGATTTCTGTTCAGCATACCCAGTGATATAATTTCTGAATCCTGCTCTGTGATGTATGCTGACATTTGGACAATGTCCAGTGTTGCATGATATCCTTCAGATATGTGACTTCCATCTTCTCTGTGTATTTATAATTGTTCATATGTTGGAACCAAGATATTACGATTGCCTGAATATGGTGCTTGGATGGGAGACAGGAAATCAGTCTTGATGGGGAAACCTGTTAGTAGAATACATGGAACACAGAGAAGAAGGAATTAGCATATTAAAATAATCAAGGGAAACATGTTTAGATGTGAACTTGACCGAGACAGCTGAGGATCATGTGCAGTGACAGACTTTACAGTTGTATAACCATGGAGTATATTTATTATGAAAGTAAATTTTATACGTATATTATTAAGGGACATAAGAATTTTGGGTGTAAAAACTGGAGGAATGTAGCATCGAATAGAGAAGAATGGCGAGCAATCCCGAGGAAGGCCAGGGCTCACAAAGGGCTGTCGTGCCAGTGATGATGATGATGATGATGATGATATTATTAAGGAATGTACAGAAAGAGACTGTACAGTAAACCGCAGTCAAGGTGATCAACATCATGCTCTGCACACCTTCACCCTTGTCTACAGTGTCCATTTGAGAGCTGTTCTGCATACAGCAGTAGAAATAACTGCTTGGAGTCAAACTATCTTCTATCACAATGCAATACTATGAACAGTTATCACAACACATTTATTCTTTAGGATACATGTTTCAGCTCTCGGATCATCTTCAGTGATCCTTATACAGTTATATTATGCACATCACCCTTGATTAAAACTTGCACTACTACATTTGCACAATATTTCAAATCACTTTACACATCATTTGATATAATGTTGTTTTTGCCTAAGTTTTAACACTTTACATCCAGTCTTTGGCATGTCTTCAGTCAAAAGTCACAAAAAAAAATGCTATTAGCTTCACCATGTAACAATTCATGAATCACCCCCACAAATTCCCATGACATTTGTTGTTGGGGAGTTAACTAAAATGTGGCAAACCATTCCAATTTTAGTTAAGATTTGACAACAGCAATGGATACTTTACATGAAACACACAGTTGAACACAGCACTGATTTGGGACCCCGTATTCAGCTTCAGAATACCTCCATCCTCGCCACCAAGATGCGATATATGGATCGCATCGTGAGAGAAGCCACTGAGATTGAAAAATATGAACAAGGGGGGGGGGGGGTTGTCTCAGCAAGTCGTGGAAGCCTCTCATCAGTTCCCTTAACCCCTCCGGGACGACAGATCCACAAGGCCACACAGTCCATGACCAACTCACATAGCAACCCCCCCCCCCAAGCTTAAGGGTTAATACCCTCCCATTAACCTTGCTCCTGTCCCAGACCCTTCCCCTCTCCCTCTCCCTTCCCTCCCTGCTCTCATATAGTTGAGTTTATTTCCAACATTAGCCTGTTCTCACTGTCTCTTCACTTGCAGATNATCTTACAATTTCTACTTGAACAAAAGACAGTGATTATATTTTGTGTCTACCTTCTTTGCCATAAACCACAATTCTATCCAGATCTAAATCCTTGTGCATGTGAGCAGTGCAAGTTAAAAACTGGATAAATGTGTAGAACAAGTCTGAACAGATTGAGACTGATGCATCTGGGCATACATTCAAAAGTTATCTCCATAGATCAGGACCATGGAGGGTCCAAGAAAGTGCATATGACCAACTACTGGGAGAACAGAATTACTTTGGGAAGATGTTACTTGTTAGTTCACTAAAGTTCCATGCTTGGGTAATACAAAAAAAAAAAAAAACTGAAATTTTCAGTATTGAATTATATTAGTACAATAAATACATATCTGGCTAATGGAGGCTGAACAAAAGACAATCATAGAATTCGTGCCAGGAATTAAATAGCTCATTCACATTACATTTCATCTCCATATAGCAGATATTCAACAAGCAATCACCATGTATAATAAAATTGCAATATTTACACTGAAAGTTTTTATAACAATTCACTACATGTTGATTTCCAAAAGAAGTCAATTTTCATAAGGCACTTCAAAAAAAATACATGGCAGCAAACAGTGCTGCAGTGGAAGACCAGTTTACAAAGTGACAACCATACTGAAAGGAACTTATATAAAATGGGATGGCTAACTTTTTAGGACTTTTTGCAACAGATTTATTATGTATCCACACAATATATTTCCTCCCATCATTAATCCTTTCACTGTTGTAAAGGATAAATATCACCTGCATGTTTGCAAATATTCACCAGATTGTCAAAATCTGGATAGTCCAGTATCTTATTTTTGCAAATATAAATATACCATTTCCTGTGTTTCAAAACTTAACTTGTATGATGGTCAGTTTATTACATTTATTTATGTACTGTTGAATTTCTAAAAATAAAACGTTTATGCTACAGCACACTGCATTTGGCAAAATAATTCTGTTCATAATGCATAGCATGCTTTCCTGTGTGGCAGGAATGTTCCGCCCATAACAGTGAAAGAGCTGTCATACATTATGTGCAACTGGATAATTGTGAAAGCAAACAGCAATTATTAGAGCATATGACTGAATGGCATTTTAGTTTCAGATATTTCATCTGTCCATGATGAAGCTTGGAGAACAGCTGACTCTTTGAGATTTGAAAACTTACTGTTGAAATGCTTCAGAAATTCTCAGAACCTTCTCCATGCTTTTATTCTCAGCCACAGTTTTGTAATTGGAAATGGCCTATTGGCTGACCTCAGAACCAGCTCCATGGTACAGGATCTTCCTTGACAGTTAGTCATCTGGTCATGAAATCCTGATGTTCAGAAGAGCTTACTGTTGAACTATGTCCTAAGGTAGTTCAAATCAGCTCACACTTCTACATCCTACTTCTCTGTGATTATCCTCTTTCCATGCCTAAGACTAAGCTTGCCACTTGTTTCTGCTGGTTTATTGCTTGGCTTACTCTTCAACCTTGAAGATGGAGGTAATGTATTCCTCTGAAACATCAGGCTCTCTATGAAATGCATAGTGTTACAACCTACAGGACTGTATTCTTCCTGGTATAATTATCAGATATATTTTCCACCTTCCTCACCATTTTCCATTCAGTAGAATATGTTAGTGACACTAAACAATCACTGCTAAATTTAGGTTTCAAATTGCAGCAGTCAGCTACCTTCCATCAAGCAATACTTCAAGTTTCCACTATGTAAGCTTAAAATTATAAAACCTGTGGTGCTAGTCCTGCCTTCCAAGCAACCAAGTGCTCACACCTTCCTCATTGAACTCAAATATCTTATATGTCACATTCTGAACATGGGCACATATGATCAAGCTTTGAAACGTACAAGGAATTCCCAAGAGCTATCAGAACGAGCTCTCTAAAAGAAGTAAAAAAAAGTACTGTCTTCTCATGGTGGTGAGAAGGCTGTAAAATCCACATCTGTTGCTGAAAAATAGCATTATAAATATCCCATCAGCCTTAAAAACAGCTTTCTTTTACTAAGTACAGTATTTCTCAGTTGGTATGCCACTAGTTTCTTATAAGTACAAAACAATGCTGAAGATGGGGTGAGAACATTAAGATGCCAGTCTTTAGAGAGCACTGATGATGTAACAAAAAAACAGTTCTGAAGTCAAAGAGAAGGTTTTATTCAGAGTGCCTTAAGGGGGGATTTTAATCTTAAATTCTGATTCTTTCAATAACATAAACAGAGGAATAACTGCTATTATAGCCACTGAACTTACATAATAAGACTTAGCTCATTTATGAACAGATCAGCTATCTAATGTGTTCATCAATATGCAATTAAAATGGTAGTTGGCTTTAGAATAATTCTGTTCTACTGTTCAAGAATAAAGCACACCATTATTTCACCACCATGAACATGTACTCCATTTGTTCTTTTACTTAGTGACTGCATTCTTTTGTTGTTATTGACCTGTTCAGTTCTGAAAAACTCAGCCTTCTCTCTCACATCATGTTTTGGTCCCTTCTTGGATCATCTGTGAAAATAGCTATATAAGCATTTTCAGTCCAGCAAGTGCTAATTAGTATCTGGGTTACAACCCTAACTTTAAATATGGTCAGATTTTTAGCAATTTCACCTTCCTTTTCTCCAATCATACACATTATTAAAAGCAGCAAATTCTATCACTTAATAAAACCAAAATTTTCTGAGCATATACTTGCACACTCTATACAGCATGTATGTATGATAGGAACGAAGAAAGGTGACATTGTTAAAAGTGACACCATTTTAAACATTAAGGGTAAAAGTAAATGTAAGCTCTCCCTATGCTTAATTCACATCATGAAGATGTGTGTGTTTAGCTTCACACCCTGACTGCTTTACCACTGGGTAAGAGCCCTCAGTAATCATTACATAAGAGGCCGGGTGGGCTCTAGAGCTGGTCTGGACATTACAGATAAGAGGAAAATCTCCTACTCCTGCCATCCCAGCTCCAAACATAGGGTTTCAATCCACATACTAATCAATGCTCATCTGAATCAAGATCTAGTTTTAAGCTAGTGGTATCTTAATGATGACATTGTGTTATTCTGTAGGTGGTTATCAACAATGCAAACAAATGTGCTGCCTCCATCCTCAGGACTGAAGATGGATGCAGCAGGTACATCTGAAACATCAATATCACCTATGAAACTGCATGGGTCCGTTTCCTTTGCAATTTATTTTACAATACTTTCAGTATCTAGACCATACAGCAATGAATGCTACAAGGAGTACAATTAATGAATTGGAAAGAACGGTCACTGCCGAATCAAGGCATCATGCTGGCATGTCTGAAGGACTGAGTAAAACCACAAGAAACCTCGGTCCAGAGAGCCGGTGTCCTGGCCAAGATTTGAACTGAGCACCTCTTCACTACAAGTCTAGAGTGTTAATGCTGCATTAACCTGCTTGGTTACATGTCATAACCCAGTAAACCACAATCCTAACACTCACCATAGTGAAAACCTATGAGTTCATCAACATCATTTCATAGTTATATTCACCCGATGACGGTCAAAACAGGGACCAAAATATCTTGAAAGAAAGAAAGAGACAAAGTATGGATAGACAAAAACAGTAATTTTTTATACTTATTTCAAGTTACTTACATCAACATCACCAGTGCAAAATCAACAATAATTTCAGTCTTTTGTGTTTCACATTTTATTTCATACAACATCCAACTAATATCTCTTAAAAATATTTCAAAACTGTGAAAATGGAACTGAACTCAACATCTGTGTCATATCATACATAACATTTGAGTGCTTCCATGAATGAGCATACATTCAACGAATGAATCAAATTATGGTACTCTGTTATTTCACAAGTGACAGACTAGTGTAATGAAGGCACAAAAGGCAAAGAAACAATGTACTAAAGCTTCTTTTATAAAAACTACAAATCATTATATAAATAATGATTATGATGAAATCATCCTAGAGTCCATTCTGTAAAATATGGAATGCTGCTCCAAGGGCCCAACTGATTTCGTGACCATCAATTTGTTTATAGAGCTGAAAAATAAATTTCAAATTATTAAATAAGTCCAACTAATAACATCTGTTATTCTTACACATCACAAAAGTTTTACTGGACTGCACAGCATCACATCCCAGAATATTTACTCCATTCTCAGTTTGTTTTCCTTCCTTAGTGTGTGAAAGCAAGTTTCACACCCATACAAAACAACTGGAAAAATTATATTTTTTTTTATTTTTTATATTAATCTTTACATTTTTGGATGGCTGATGGGAAAACAAAGGATTCTGAAATGAATGATTGCAGTCATTCCCCAAATTGAATCTGCTCTTAATCTATTCACACATTCTGGTGATAAGACATCCTACTTATACAGAATTTGAATTTCTTACAGCAGTAGTTCTGACGAGTAGAGTTGCCTTTGGTATAATAATGTGTTAGGTAGAAAGGTAAAGTTATCCCCATAACAGGCCATGGAGCCCCATAGGGGGCGAGAGGTTGAGGCTCCCACATCTTCTAGACAATGGGCTCACAGACAGCAGTAAGTTTGTCAGCCTTACGCGCTGGTCTCCCTTTATGCCCCAGGAAGATTCCTGGTACTCATTCCTGCTAGAGGCTGAGTCACCCCAGGGTCACAGTGCAGCTGGAAGAATTGGGTAAATTGAAAAAAAAAAAATCCACCTCATTCGACTCAAACCTGCGACCTGCCAGCTTTTAGCATAATGCCTCAACCAACTATGCTAACACATACCCCAATAATATTATGTAGTCCAGGAAAAGTAAACTGATGTTTCGGGGGAGCATGTCACCTTTATCTTCAGAGTTGAAGGGTAACCCAAGCAAGAAATTAGCATAAAACAGACACGCAGTTGTCTATGCCTTAGGCAGGTTTTGAACCATCCACTGTAATGGCCATGATCATATGTCCTCATGAACATCAGCACCATCTGCTGGGATGTGATGCCATGTAGTCTGGTAGATATTTACTGATGTTTCAGAGGAATGTACTGCCTCCATCTTCAGAGTCATAGAATAAGCTGAGCAATCAAACGTGCATACAGTATGTTCCATCAAAATGCCAGTAAACTTCCACACATCCCAGAATCTTCATAATCACTGTTACAACCACAAATTTTGCTCAAGTGTTCTGGTAATTCTGATTATTCTGAACTGGAGGTCCGTGAACCACTGATAGTCTTTAGCATAATTTACATAGTGTGCGCACGTGTGTGTGTGTGTATATATATATATATACACGAGAGTTGGAACTTTAATAGTGGCAACACGGCTGTAGAGACGCCACACAACAGAACCAAATAATGTCACTTATACCACACTTAAGTTACATACTTACCTTACTTCAGAGAAAATGGACTCTCCCTTCCCACATCACTTGCATGCAAAGTGATGAGAAGAGCAGAGTCTCGTGTTAGCTGGCGGTCTAATGTAGTGTTGTCACGATGCTTTTGAAACAGGAACAACAGAGTTGGATAAACATTGAATGTGCCAGAGGCCGTACAGCATGACAGTGTCATCAAGGTCTTCAAGAGGCTTGCGGGGAATCTGCATTGCCTTACAGAACAGTGGCAAGGTGGGTAAAAGCCTTCAACGAGGGACACCAAAATGTGGCAGACATGCGTCGGCCAGGTCGTCCTAGTGTCAGTGAAGAAGTGTATGCTCTTTCTGCATTACTGGAGGGTGATCAACGCCATACGATTCGTGAGCTGGCCTGAGAGACAGGATTAGCACATACGACTGTGCTTCACATTCTGAAGGAACTCCTGGGCATGAGAAAAATTGCATCACGATGGGTTCCGCATGATTTGACGGAAATTCAGAAATGGCTACGATATGACGCTGCAATATGAGCGTGAAGGAGAAGCTTTCTTAGGCTGTATCATTATGCTGGATGAGACATGAGGCAAATCATACAAGCCACAAATGAAATGCAAATTGAACAAATGGCGTCATTACGGGTCACCATGAAAATCATAAGTTCATCAGAACCCCAGCAATGTGAAAGTTATGGTGATTCTCGTGTATGACTGTGATGGTGTTATCCAAATGCATACCATTCCCCGACAGCAGTCAATGAGCAGTATTAGTGTTCATTTTTGGAACACAACCTGCGACCAGCTTTGAGAAAGAAGTGGCGACACTTTCTGCAGAACCCACCCATCATTTTGCACAACAATGCTCGGCTACATGCCGCGCAAGCTGTGGCTGATTTGTTCAATCGATGGGGCTGGGAAGTGCTGTACCATCCACCATACTCCCCGGACTTCAGCCCTTGTGACTTCGACTTGATTCCTAAGATGAAGGAACCATTTCGTGGCATTCGCTTCAGAACTGTTCCAGAGATTCTTGAGGTAGTACACCGCTTCATTCGAACTATCAACACAACAGGCGCTGCTAAAGGTATCCTACGACTTCCACATTACTGGCAACGGGTTGTACACATTGCTGGTGATTACACTGAAGGACAGTAAAACTTCGAAACATTCATCTATTTTGTATCAGTTGTAAATAAATAGTTGCCATTAAAGTTCTGACCCTCGTGTATATCTATTATATGTATACAGTGGCCGTCTTGTAGTGCACTCAATTTCACCTGTCACTTCACAACATGTTTCGGCAACATAGTGCCATCATCAGGTGTCCCAATTACGTCAATCTATTGCATTGCTTACCCTCATATGTTTTCACAACACCATTTAAAAAGTATTTAAAAAGTCCGTATTTGTCAACTATGATAAATTTACACTCGCTAAAACTTGTTAAGATAATTCATCTTATTTGTCTTAATTAAAACTTGCATGTGGTTCGTTCACTACGGGGTCGTTTTTCTTATTTTCTGTGTAAACCGCGTCTTGTGATGTGTGTTCCCTTCTTAGCTGCGAGTGTTGTAATGTTGAACATTACAACAGCAATCTCTTCAACGTATCACCATCAGGCAATCTGTATTTATTAGCCTGAATGTTAAACACATCCATTTTCTTATCATACTTGTCTGCTTAGGTTGAACCATCTTCTCGTACTTTCACAGAGAAAAGTCTTTCACATTTTTATCGAAAACTAACACTGATATTCTTTGAGAAAAACACAACAGACAGAAACAGCCCATCCTTCTACTCATAATTTAAATAGGCAGATGAGAAGAAACAAGTAAACTGGGGTGAAGACAGTTTAACATATATGAATATGACCCAACTCCCAAGACATACAGTGTTCTGCTTTCTGATACCATACCTTTGATACTCCCAACAATTATTACTTACATGCAATTCTTTATCTAGAGAGAGTCCAAAGCCTTGTTGGAGTAAAACTGATATGAAGGTGAGGTCCAAACACATGAATGGCTGCTCACTATTAGGAGTTTCACATGCTGCAGAATGAAAATAAGCCATTTATAATCTAAAATGGATATTTACAAATTACATAAATCTTAAAGTTTCAGCCTTACCCCTTAACTACTATTTTATTTTATATTTAATTTTTTTTCATATTACTTCTGAAATGTCTATGTGAAACTTCTTTTATACACAATGTAGCTGTGTTCTCTTGGTTACTAGATGATGCTCTGTCAAGAACACAGGTTATGTATAACAGATTGAAAATGGTCTCAGTGTGAGGGTGATTTGATGAACTGTCTTTTAATCCAACTTCACATTTTAACATTTCCACTTTTATTAATGTAACTGCAGATGTTATATAGCGCCAAATGGCTGGATAATGGAAAATAATGTGAAAGTGGCCCTGACCTATTCTAAGGTCATATGCCAGCATTTACACGGAGGAAGTAATAAAAGTTATGATAAACTCCAGACAGTACTGTTGACCTCTTAGTAAAAATCCAAACCCTGGACCTCACAGTTATGAAAAAGAAGTTCTGATCATTACACTGTGACATCTAGATGGTTACACTTTACAGAATATGCACACATACACATGGCATGGCCAATAACTATGATTTGTTTTCATCTTTTTTGTCCAAGTCCATCCATCCCACTAAACTGCCAGTGCTTAGCCAAGTATGCTTAACTGAACAGCCATTTCTCAAGAAGGGATTACAGTAAAACTGTGCAACTGAACATAAATGCAGGACTGAACTGAAGCTGCTCCTTCAACTACTCTTAGCATTAATCAATTACATAATTCAGTATTTTGCAATTGCATTGGTTATTTGTTACTGACCTATTTATATTGTTCATTCAAGTAAGAATATTTCTTATAATGTAGGTATTTGCATAAGGTCTCAGCGATCCAATAATCCCTTGTATAATGATCCAAACCCAAACTGTCATATATGTAATCCTACCTATTACTGTTACCATGAATGAAAGCCATATCAGCAGAAGTGGCAGGAAAAGACATGTACAAGTGTTTCCAGCAATCACATGACCACTGACAGAAACTTCTGATAGCAGAAGGGTACTACTTCAAAGGCAGACCTCAGGCAAAAGTTCGCAAAACTTCTTGCCTTGACTATGTATATGTCTTGCTTCTTCTGTTATTCAAACAGCTTTCCCTTAAAACATTACTTCTATTTTTAATCACCCTCATAATTATTACACAACTTACTTTTATTAGCAGCGTTATGGAAATCTTGTACAGTTGTAGCACCACCAGTAAAGGGATCTGCAGAGAAAAGAATGAAGCTCTGTAATAAGTTCATTTAAAGGAAGGATCTTTACATGTGACAAAATATCTGTTGAGTGGGATGCTTGACCTTGCATAAGCCACTCTGCCACTGTCAGCCACAGATTCCCAAAAATAACTGAAATATGATGGATGATATTAAAGTATCATAAATACTGCTAACACAGATTCTATTACATTTGGAACTGTTTCACCAAATTTCCATTAAAAACAAAATTAATTCTTGAAGGTAAAATATGAACACTAAATAATGATAACTTTTTTTTATAACATAAGAATTGTTATGTTGTAAGAACAAAAGCATATAGATGAACTTACTGGGATATATTACACATCTGGGAAAGCCAAGGAACTGTTACTGTTAGAATTATTGCATCTGAAATGAGCTTTGGTCATGGTTCTGTAGCAAAATAAGTGGTACAGGTTTATGGCCCAACCAAAACAGCATTACTTAGGACACAAACTACCAGAACAAATGCAATGAAAATTAGGGTGATTATATACAAGAATAAGATATGTATATTGTGTGACTGTTTTTAACTACTTTTAATTACTTATCCTGTTTTTTTTTTATATTTCAAAATTTCCTATATGATTTCATTCTCTTAGGTTTAATATATTTATAAACTCAATCCTTTGTTCTAGGTGAATAAATTTTAATATATTTGTCTGTATTTTAATGGTTATGGGCTTCAGTTATTCATATGATAAATTTTATCCTAGAATAAATAATCCTACATACCAAATGTGTGAATTTACAAAAAGTGTTCAAGAAAAGTACTTTAAAATTGACCTCTGATGTTTCCCTAGTACTCTTTAACAGCAATGCACTTACCTATTAGACTATTTTCTGTAGCTCTGTCATAGTAATATGAGAAAGCACTAATTTTCTTGTGATTTAGTTCTTTTGGTTTATCGACTGTTTTATTCACGTAACTGCTAACAATGTTAAAACATTCCTCAAATTTCACTATAGGATATTTTTGTTTCACATTTCTGTCTACTTTCTCTTCCTTATAATGAGATTTCTCTGGTCCCCTGCAACAATTGTTCAATGTAATTACATCTTACATTAATTAATGGCTCTCCAATATTTATTATACTCAGTTAAGTTCCTTTTCAATGTACTTTACTGAAATGCTTATTTATGTAACACATTGCAAAGCCCTTGTTCACAGTGTTGAATGAGCAACAAAAAATATAATATAAACAAAGCAGACAATAAATCATCTACCTCAACCCTCTTCAGCCACTGTGTCATGGTTAGGGGTGAAATTCAAAACCAGCAGTGGTAAACTTAGCAAACTGCAAAGGCTGGCCCATTTAGGCATTACAGAAACCACAAAGCTGACTCCAACACCTGCAATTGAGGTTTCCCCTCATTTTCCCTCCACTATATCTGGAGTTGGAAGCTGAGGCTCAAGCAGGAGTTTACAGACTTTGCTGCAGTGAACAATGGAAGCCCAAATCTAAAAGGTATGGGCATGCTTACATGTCTCAGAGCATGATGGAAAAACCCATCCTACAGATAGGGATTAAAAGTACTGTGGAACCTCGCTTAACGAGCACCTCTCATAATGAGTAATTCACATAACGAGCAAAACAAATTGTAAAAAAATGACTCACTTAACGAGCGACATTTCGCATAACAAGTGACGAGTGGGGAAGTCCCGGATTGTGCACTTGCTACATCAGTCTGTGTTTAGCGCTCGTTCCGCTAGCATCTTAGTGTCGCTTGTGATCACACATTTTTTCTAAACTTGTGTTCAGACATATTATTTGCGATTTTTTGTGCAAAGTTTAATAACCCTTGCAAAAATGTCCCTGAAGAAAAAGCCGCAAAAAGACAGCCACAAGAGAATAAAAATAACCGTAGAAATGAAACGTAAAATCACTGAAAAGCGAGAACGAGGTGTGAGTGTGGCTGATGTAGCACGCACATACAGTCGGTCTACATCAACGATTTGCACTATCTTCAAGAACAAAGACAAGATTAAGGAGATAGATGCTTCAAAGGGAGTGACAAGAATATCTACGCAATGGTTACGTATTCTCGACGATGTTGAAAGGTTGCTCCTCATATGGATAAATGAAAAGCAATTGCAAGGCAACACTATTAACAAGAAGGCAAAAGTGATTTTCGCCGACCTCGTTAAGAAGACACCAGGATCATCAACGGCCGAAGAAGAAGCATTTAAGGAAAGCCGTGGGTGGTTTGAGAAGTTTAAGAGAAGAACCGGCATCCACAGCGGTGTAAGGCACAGTGAAGCAGCAAGCTCCGACACAAAGGCAGCAGAGAACTTCATCGGTGACTTCAAAAAGCTCGTAGATCCTGAGGGTTACCTGCTGCAACAAGTTTTTAATTGTGACAAGACGGGTCTCTTCTGGAAAAAGATGCTGAAGCGAACCTATATAACAGCAGAGGATAATGCACTGCCCGGCCATAAGCCAATGAAAGACCGTCTCACACTGCTATTTTGTGCTGATGCAAGTGGCGATTTGAAAATTAAACCGCTGCTTGTTTACCATTCAGAAACTCCACAAGCCTTCAAGAAGCGTAAAGTCCAGAAGAGCAGGCTAAATGTGATGTGGAGGTCCAACAACAAGGCTTGTGTGACACGTGACCTTTTTACTGATTGGATCAATGAAGTGTTTGGTCCTTCTGTGAAAAAATATTTGCTTGAGATGAATCTCCCACGCCATGTCTTGCTTGTTATGGACAACGCTCCTGCCCATCCTCCAGACCTACAAGATGACCTCCTTGAAGAATTTAAATTCATCAAGATACAGTTTCTGCCTCCCAACACCACTCCGTTACTCCAGCCTATGGACCAGCAGGTTATTTCTAACTTTAATAAGCTGTACACTAAAGCACTCTTCGAGCGTTGTTTTGAGGTGACTGAAGGGACCAATCTCACTCTGAGAGTTTTGGAAATATCACTTCCACATCGTTGCCTGCCTCAAGCTGATCGAAAAGGCATGGGAAGGGGTCCAAAAATTGAAACACTATGGAATAAAAGGATCTCTACTGAAAGTGCTTGAAACATACCTATATAACAGGAAGCAAAGAATCATTCTACAGACTCGAGACTCAACTACATATGTTTCTAAATTGAAAACTAGCAAACATGGAGTTCCACAGGGATCTGTACTGGGACCTTTGTTGTTCAATGTATATATTAATGATCTGCCTAGAATTCTAAATGGGTCGGCACATACAGTTCTATATGCTGACGACACCACTTTTATTGCCTCTTCACAGGATATTAGCCTTAATAACAAAATTAATTTAGTTATGAGACATTTATATAGATGGTTCCAAGCTAACCAATTAACACTAAATTAAAAAAAAACATGTATTGAAATTTATGACCCCTAAGGCCACGGACTATCCATTACATATAAAATATAATGACCAAACACTTAAATTTTCTGTAAATGTTAAGTTTTTAGGTGTGTGCCTGGACAATCATTTGGGCTGGGAAAAATACTCTGATGATGTGATAAATAAGTTGAGTGTTGCAACCTTTGTGCTTAGAAAACTACAGCCTATAGTACGTAGGCAAATGTTGAAAATGGCTTATTGTGCTTACTGTCAAGCTCAACTTAAATATTGTGTTATTTTCTGGTGCTCTTCTTCNTATCTTACTAATAATAGTGTACATAAAATTAACACTAGAGTACAAAACAGACTACACGTCACATCAGCTAGACTATCCATTATACAAAAGGGAGTGTATTATACATCCACAAAATTTTTAATAATTTGCCACGTAAATTATATATTTTAAAGGATAATGTTAATTTATTTAAACGAAAGCTGAAAGACTTTCTTATCTTGAAAGCTTTCTATTCCATTGATGAATATACGGCAAATAGCTAATTGTATTATATTCCTATTGTATCTTGGTTGTGTCTATTTGGACTTGGTTGCATATTGCAACTACTTTTAATTAATCTGACGAGTTCAATATGCGGCCCAATATGGGCAATGGATCTGTGAAGCTATGTATGTGTGCAGTATATCAGTAGCAGCTGCCAAAAAGGACACCAGGCTCTGGATGAACAGAGACCATACAAACATTGGGAGTTCATAGCAGGACAAACACAAGGAAAGGATTTCCTTCTAAGGCTCTCTGCAAAAAGGACTAGGAAATTATTAGAATTAAACATGAATCAGCTGAGATGGGTAACAGGGCTATTCACAGAACACCTTTTCACATTTGGACTAGCAAAAACCGCTCTTGTGAAAGGTGCCAGAACAAAGATAAAACAGCTGCACACAGCCTACATGACTATAAAGCTTAAGCTAACTTAAGAGCTTGTCATCTGGGACAACTGCTTAAACATCCCAGTAAGTACAGCACTTCATCCAAGTGTGGGACTGTTAGTGGGCCACCACAGTAGACTGAAGACAGTCAGTGTGTAAGGGCTGGTATGGCCCACCACTTAATATATTAAATAACCCTTTCCAACATACATTTTAGAACATCTGGACTTAGATACTCTTCTGTAGCCACTAGTACTCCAAGTGTTCATGTCTCTAACCTGATCCACATAACCAAAAAAATCATAGCTCCAGTCCTATCGGATTGCTGTTCATACAAAGGCTACTTACTGAAGTTCTGTATTTATAAAGCAAGAAATGGTTCAAGAAGCTTACATGACTGTATAAGTGACTCCAGCATAGGTCCACTCTGTTGTGATAATAGGATTAATGCACTCACTCCTCAATGTGGTAGCACCCTGGGCATTTCCAACAGAGAGAATTTCCTTCCGTGCAGCCATCATACCAAGACCTAAGTAACTATAAGCAGGAAAACATTTATTTTAGATTACGTGAGGAATACTATTGCACAGTGTAAGTGAATTCCAAATAGGATAACATTTCTAAGATGCTCTTCAAAAGATATTATTTAAAAAATATTGGGAATAATACTCAAGTAACTACCATCTGGTGCTGGTCACGGTAGCCGAGCGGGCTAAGGTATGCACTGTCTTCGCTCGCTTGGAAGCCGGGATCGTGGGTTCGGATCCCACTCAGAGCATGGATGTTTGTGTGCATTTTTATGTTTGTCTATATATGTAGAGACCTTGCGACGAGCTGATAACTCGCCCAAGGAGTCCTACCGTATGTGTAAGATCCCGAAGTGAACGGAGTTCATGGAGGTATTCCTAGGCCCACTGGGGCTGTAGTGCCAAGGAAAAAAAAAACTACCATCTGGTAACTAGTTCTACTGGCAAGAATTAAGCAATATGTTGATTATGCAACATTTTATACAGCAAAATTATATAACAATGTAATAACAACATAAATAGAAATAATATGTGTATCTATACTTCATTTAATGTTATCAATATCTAAAAATATATAACATCAAATGTATGATGGTCAGTGAATAATGAATTGGAAAGGTTGTAGAAGCTGTTATGACTTGATCTCAGGTACTATCCTGGAATTTGTCTGATGGTACTTACAGAAACCATGAAAAATAACAAAGCAGCTAGTCTTTGGGTGGATAGTTTAACCTGAGGACTCCCAAATGTGAAGTTGTGCAGTGAGAGGCATAAAATAAATTATTTCAGTAAACAATATTCATAGCTGTGAAACATGAAAGTAGTTAATGGAAACTGCTCAAAGTATATGTTTTTCTATGCCATGCCAAATACCAGTAGGTCTTGCATAATTATGCAAAATTATGATTATAATCATTTTATCACCTTTAGACACATTTATACTGAACATTGTTTATTCATGATTAATTAAATGTACAATTATATACTGATGATACTTTCACTCACATTCAATCTTACATCTTACAGATGTAGAATGAGTAACAATTAAAACTTAGTATAAGATACACAGGTCATGAAGGTGATGGTAGATAGAAAATAGTGTGGCATGTAGACCCATTGTTGGGCAATGACCTCAAGCTGAGCAAATAGACTACAGCCATCATTAAGTAACAGCTCTGCAAATAAGCATGTTCCCATGGCAACAACTGGACACAGCAACACAGGAAAGGTGTTGTCTGTGCGGTCTGTGCTGAGATGTTATAAGCAGGACAGTTGGAGCAATGAGTCAGTCATGAGACAGTCTCCAGCCAGTATGAACATGAGCATGGAACCAAAGGACATTGTTGGGATCTGTCATCAGGCCACAACTGGTGAAGACATAGCAAACTGAGATGACTTTATGTGTGTTGCGGTTACAGTTATCTTTGGAGTACGTAACTCAGTAAGACTGTCATAGTTATACGAATAATGTTCTGTAAGAGTTCAATAAATCAATTACCAATCCAAACCCCATCTACAGTCACGTAATCATGTGACACTGCATATTAAATTTTTGTTAGGAAACCCAGACAGAGGAGACCATTTAGGACATCTGGCATACATGAGATGACAGGATCAAAATACACCTTAAATAAATAGGATATTAGGGTTTGGACTGGATGAGATGGATGGGCCATGTAGCATACATGAAAGATATGAGAAATGCAGCTTCTTGTGAACACAGTGATAAAACTTTAGGTTCACCAGGAAGCAGGGCATTTCTTGGCATTCAAGAAATGAAGCTGTTGAGCCTTATGAAGATGATTAGAAAGCAGTTCATGGCTAACCAGCAACAGTATATAACATTCAGTGTCATGCCGAAACTGTACAGTGATGATAAAATATAAATTTAATAACACTTATCTATTCTTTGGTACAGTCATTTCTAATTTTGATGACAGCTCAATGATATGAAATGTTGTATCTCTAATTGGTCCATACACAAATGAGTACTCTAATTCATACATAATTTGTTCATTTCCATTTAACTGCTCAAATTATAAAACAGAAACTGTTGAGATTGGAATAACCAATTCCAAATTAAGAATCATTTCTTCCATTTCAAATAAAAACATACTAAACTTACCTCTGTGTATAAACAGTAAGGTTATGATGAAATGCTGATATATGACGAAGAAATTCTGATTTAGTGTGATTTAGTGTTTCTTGATCAGTAGGTATAAATGTAATCTGTGTAGAGCCACCACCTAAATCAAGAGCTGCCATTGTTTGTTCTTGATCACCACCAAAAAGATCTGAAAAGCCAAGAGTTGTTTCAAGATCCAGTTCATTAAACAGCTTGTTCTATATCTTAGTTAATAAAGAAGTCAGCAGCCTTTTATCCCTCAAGAAAACTCACTGGCTGCAGTCATAAATTCAGAACATGTAGGATATTCTTGGCTCCTAAAATTTCATATTCAAAGCCATGCCAAGCAAACATATGGCAATGTATGACATGTAAGTCTTTCTGTGCCAGTCCAAAAGTTCAGCCATGGTGATTCGCTTCGCTGACAACATGACACCCTCTATCCCCTAAAGTTCGCACTAACTTCGCCGACAAGTGGCAGTCGCTGTCGGTTGAGGCCCTTCAGATAGGACCCAAATTAAAAATGGTAATTTTCTGAAAAATGGCTCCAACAATTTTAATTAAATTATGGTAATTTATGAAGACCATACCCCTGAATAGAAATGCACAGGTAATACCTTCAGGAAAAAGAATGGTATGAGCACAAGGGGCCCAAAAGTGAAATGTCAGTTTTGTCAAAATCAGCTTTAGAATTCTGAGAGGTTTTATTGCTCTTCAGTGTACAGTAACCAACAATGGTCTACAAAGCACCAACCTATATCATTGCTAATATAAGACAGTCAAGGTCAACTGTACATGTGAAAGTATGTGTAAAGTCTTTAAACCAATTTTTCAAAATTGTAACTGTTAACACAAGTGTGGAATTGCTGTATTTTCACCAAATGTAGGGCAAAATCATGACATAAAGATAGGAAACAGATGTTTTGAAAATGTGGCACAGTTCAGATATTTGGGAACAACGATAACAAATGAAAACCTGATTGAAGAGGAAATTAAGAGGAGATTGAACTCAGGTAACGCTTGCTACAATTCAGTCCAGAACCCTCTGTCTGCTGTCCAAAAACATAAAAATACATAAACAAAACTATAATTTTGCCTGTGATTCTGTATGGGTGTGAAACTTGGTTCCCGACTTTAAGGGAGGAACATAGACTGAGGGTGTTTGAGAACAGGGTGCTGAGAATATTTGAACCAAAGTGGGATGAAGTGAGAGGAGGTTGGAGAAACTTCATAATGAGGAGCTTTATAACTTGTACTCTTCTCCAAGTATAATTAGAATGATCAAGTCAAGGAGGATGAGGTGTGGCAGGGCATGTAGCACGAATGAAGGAGAGGCGAGGAATGCACATAGGATATTGGTGGGAAAACCAGAAGGAAAGAGACCACTGGGAAGACCAAAATGTAGGTGGGTGGACAATATTAAAATGGACCTTAGAGAGATAGGATGGTATGGATTGGATTGATCTGGCTCAGGACAGGGACCTGCGGAGGGCCCTTGTGAACATGGTAATGCTGGGAAATTCTTGAGTACCCGCAGATCTGGCTTCTCCTAAAGAAGGGCACAGCTCCTT